TGATATGTTTATTCATGTACTTGTATATTCTATTGTAGTTCATAGTGAGAAAGAAGAATTATCGTGTATCAGTGACAATCAAGATGGACGTGGATTGCCAGTTACTAGAGCACGTGGGCGTGGTTGTCGTCAAACGAAAGCTGGTACATTATATTAATTGTGATATGTTTATTCATGTACTTGTATATTTTATTGTAGTTCATAGTGAGAAAGAAGAATTATCGTGTATCAGTAACAATGAAGATGGACGTGGATTGCCAGTTACTAGAGGGCGTGGGCGTGGTCGTCGTCAAACGAAAGCTGGTACATTATATTAATTGTGATATGTTTATTCATGTACTTGTACATTTTATTGTAGTTCATAGTGAGAAAGAAGAATTATCGTGTATCAGTGACACCGAAGATGGACGTGGATTGCCAGTTACTAGAGCACGTGGGCGTGGTTGTCGTCAAACGAAAGCTGGTACATTATATTAATTGTGATATGTTTATTTATGTACTTGTATATTTTATTGTACTGTAGTTCATAGTGAGAAAGAAGAATTATCGTGTATCAGTGACACTGAAGATGGATGTGGATTGCCAGTTACTAGAGGGCGTGGGCGTAGTCGTCGTCAAACGAAAGCTGGTACATTATATTAATTGTGATATGTTTATTCATGTACTTGTATATTTTATTGTAGTTCATAGTGAGAAAGAAGAATTATCGTGTATCAGTGACACTGAAGATGGACGTGGATTGCCAGTTACTAAAGCACGTGGGCGTGGTTGTCGTCAAACGAAAGCTGGTACATTATATTAATTGTGATATGTTTATTTATGTACTTGTATATTTTATTGTACTGTAGTTCATAGTGAGAAAGAAGAATTATCGTGTATCAGTGACACTGAAGATGGATGTGGATTGCCAGTTACTAGAGGGCGTGGGCGTAGTCGTCGTCAAACGAAAGCTGGTACATTATATTAATTGTGATATGTTTATTCATGTACTTGTATATTTTATTGTAGTTCATAGTGAGAAAGAAGAATTATCATGTATCAGTGACAATGAAGATGGACGTGGATTGCCAGTTACTAGAGCACGTGGGCGTGGTTGTCGTCAAACGAAAGCTGGTACATTATATTAATTGTGATATGTTTATTTATGTACTTGTATATTTTATTGTAGTTCATAGTGAGAAAGAAGAATTATCATGTATCAGTGACACTGACGATGGATGTGGATTGCCAGTTACTAGAGCACGTGGGCGTGGTTGTCGTCAAACGAAAGCTGGTACATTATATTAATTGTGATATGTTTATTCATGTACTTGTACATTTTATTGTAGTTCATAGTGAGAAAGAAGAATTATCGTGTATCAGTGACACTGAAGATGGACGTGGATTGCCAGTTACTAGAGGGCGTGGGCATAGTCGTCGTCAAACGAAAGCTGGTACATTATATTAATTGTGATATGTTTATTTATGTACTTGTACATTTTATTGTAGTTCATAGGGAGAAAGAAGAATTATTGTGTATCAGTAACAATGAAGATGGATGTGGATTGCCAGTTACTGTAGGGTGTGGGCGTGGTCGTCGTGAAACAAAAGCTGGTACATTATATTAATTGTGATATGTTTATTCATGTACTTGTACATTTTATTGTAGTTCATAGTGAGAAAGAAGAATTATCATGTATCAGTGACACTGAAGATGGACGTGGATTACCAGTTACTGGAGGCCGTGGTCAAAAGAAAGCAAGTAAATTATTAAAATATGTGCATTTACATGTAATTGTAGTTGACAGTAAGAAAGTACATGTACTTTAGTTTTGCCAAATTTCCTTTAATTTTGAGTGAGGTGCTCTGTACAATGCATTGATCAACTTTTTGTATTTTTTATACTTTGCTATAGACATATATTATGCTTTGCTTGGTCCTTAAATTTTACGTTCATCTAGTAGTACTTGTAATTATACTTTGTATATTTGCTAGAAAATACTTGTAGATCAGAAGATGGTAAAGATACACAAAGTCAAGGAGGAAGGACTGACAAAGCTGAAGGTACAATGTAGATGTACGTGATGTATCCTCATGCTTGATTGTTTATTATACATTTAGCTCAATTGCATGTACATGTATATGGACAGTTGGAGTGTGAACGAAGCAATGGGAATTTTGTTCAAATTGAAGGTACTCGTATCTTTTTTATGTTGTTCATTTTTATTTTACATCTATTTAGCTGATGAATCAGATCATTGGTGGCAGAAAAGTCTTAATTTGAAATTTTCGGACCTTAACTGTATTGTTCAAGGATTTATGTTACAAGATACCGTTATAAATGCTGCTCAAAGTATCTTGAAGAAGCAATTTCCTTTCAAAGGAGGATTTCAGAGTACTTTAAATGGTCAGAGACAAGGGAAATTATTTGATACTCTTCCATTTGATTCACACTCTATACAAATATTACATACAGGTATAATAAGTATAATACATTTGTGCACAATATTTAATTTAAGCTTTTTCATTTTTAGGTAATTATCATTGGATATGTGTGGAAATAACTCAAA